CATGCCCAAGATCCCGAGAGGAGAATGGAGGAGAAGGGATTGCGGCGTGGCCATCCCCCCTGGGGGGTGATTTCCTGCTTTCTGTCTCTCTGTCTCTCTCTGTCTGTCTGGCGAGCGCATGTACCCTATAGCAAAAAACCTCTCCAAAAAAAAAAAAAAGAAAAAAACACTGGGTGGAAAAAACCACCTGCTAGCATGGTGGTTAAGGCTGGACTCCCACGTGACTGACCATGGTTCAAGTCCAGACCTGGTGGCTTGCTTTCTCTCTCTCTCTTTCTGTCCCACTCTGGTCAAATTAAAATAAATAAATAAAGTAAAATAAAATAATTCTTTAAAAATACAAAAGAAGGGGCCAGCAGTTAGTGTAATAGTTATGTCGCTAGACTCCCATGTAGTCGACCGCGGTTCAAGTCCCGGACCCAGTGCCGGGCGCATGTGCATGTGTGCCCAAGATCCCAAGAGGAGAATAGAGGAGAAGGGATTGCAGCATGACCATCCCCTCTGGGGGGTGATTTCTTACTTTCTGTCTCTCTGTCTCTCTGTCTTTCTGGCAAGCGCACGCGCCCAATAGGAAAAAACCTCTCCCAAAAAAAAGAAAAAGAAAAAAAATACAAAAGAAAAAAATACTGGGCACATGTGCATGCATGCCCAAAATTCTAAGAGGAGAATGAAGAAGATGGGACTGTGGTATGGCCATTTCCCCACCAAGAGAGGGGTGATTTCTCACTCTCTTTCTCTGTCACTCTTCAACATGCACTCTATAGCAAACTACAAATAAGCAAATAAAATGTAAAATGGTGTAACAGTACAGTGATGTCACATGTACATTTAACATAGTTAAGCTCAATTACATAAGGTTAGTGTTAAGTGCAATGTTTTGTAGGTAATTGTGTTCTAAATAGACCCCTGGGAGCCAGCAGATGGCGTAGTGATTACAGCGCTGGACTCCTACGTGGCTGACTGTAGTTGGAGTCTCAGACCTGCTGGCTTGAAACTCACACTGGGCATGTGAGTGCACACCCAAGATCCTGAGAGAAGAAAGGAGGAGAAATGATTGTGTGTGGTATCTGCCCTGGGGTTTGATTTCTCACTTCCCTTCTCAGTATCTCTGTCTCTCTCTTTCC